GCTTGTAATATTTACTGATTTTCTTGGAGGGCTTAGTATCCCATAGTAGATTGAAAGAGCTGAGTACAACAAGTTACAAAGTCCAATATATAATTAGTCAGAGGCGAAACAATTAAATTTGCAACACTATGAGAATCTGTAGTGACTGATGTTTCAATCTGCCTTCACTGAAATTGGGATAAGGGCTACTAGAGTCTGGTTTAATTCCACTATCATAAATAAAATTTGGAAAAAGAATTGCACTTGGCCTATATAGAGAGGGCAGGAGATCAAGTATAAAAACAGGCATTTAAATGAATGTTATAAAATCGTTCATTGGAATGACATTTAGAGACCTATGATGGGCAGCTTACTGGCACTAATTTCCTAGGAACAGAAATAGAAGTAGAACAAATTACTCAGAGGAAGTAAAAACCAGAAAAAGTAAAAAGCAGAGAATGTAGAGCTTTGATATGCTAATTTATTTTTTCCTACAATATTTCCTATTCTAATACACTACAGTGATTTCCAGATAGGAGTCATCAAGAAAGAATGTAGTGTTAATAACAAATACCAATCAAACAAAGAAAATTAATACTATTGTCTTCATGCGATGATGTTAATGTAAAGCTTTCTTGACTACTGTTACTATTAAATAAGTAAAATTGTTTACAATAGTGGGGAAAAAAATCCAGCAGAATAAGTAACAAAGATTTCAGATCACTGAGAAAGATATTAAGCTGAAATGAGTATAGATGTGAGTATACTTTCTGATGAAGACACAGGCTCTCTCTTGGGGGTCCTCTTTTCAGTTTTGTAAAAAAAGAAAAAGATATAAAATTTTGGTTGTAAGCATGAAAAATATAATTCATTGTGAAGATATGCCATCAAAGTATCTGAATATACAATTTAATTTCATTGCTTCATAATTAGGTAGTACCAAATGTTATCAAATGTCTCTTGATATGCTGAACAGGAGATCAGTATCTAATCTTAAAAACCTCTGAAACAAAAAATTCCAAGCCCCTGGCCCCCTTTCTCTCTCTCCCAAAAGCTCAAAGGGTTACTTTTCCTCAGTCATTTCTTTCATACAAAAAAGAAAAAAAAATAAAAAGGGAGAATCCCAGCAACAACAATAAAAACAAAAGGTTTTTATTTGTTGAGTGTGAAAATTTGTTTGAATACATTGAAAATGCAGTTCCAATCAAGAAAAATTAGTTCCATTTGGATTGATTATTCTCTAAGAAAACAAATAAGACCTCACTGAAAAGCTGAATATATTGCTCTCTGAAGCATTTGTCACATTCCTGAAGCAGTAATTCAATGTTTAGTTGCTGGTTTTTATTACTTACTATTAGTTTTTCTGTTACACTTAAGATGTGTTCAGGATTCAAACCCTCTCTTACTCATTAACTATATGGAGAAAGAAAAGGAAGTACTTTTTTTTTTTTTTTTTTTTTTTTTAAAAAACATTTTTTCTTTTTTAGCTTTTGACCTTATGGTTTTCTCCTTATCCGCAGCTTTTTTTCTCTAGTTTTGAAACATCACTGTAATGGCTACTGACAGTACATAACTTTTGTATTAGTATATATTTGTGTATATTTAATAGACTGTAATGATTTATGGTCTCTGTTCTTTTCTCAAAATGTAGTTTCTACACTCATGTCTTTTGTTCCTGAAATTCTAATCACTCATTTTTTTTGTCCTTCTAAAACTGAAAAGGAAATGCTGTGTGTTATTCCTAAGCTTTGTGATGTTACTTGGTTTTATGTGCAGCTCCACTTTCTGTTCTACTTACAGAACTTTCATCTGAACATGGCCTGCAGTCAGCAATTTATGTGTTGGCCAGTGATCTGCAAAACAAATGTCTTTCATAACATGTTTTGACTTTTACAATTTTACAAATTACGTTCTCTGAATCATCTTGCATCTTGCAAGTGTTGATCTAGAAAGTAAAAAACTTCAGGCACTTACTATTTTAGTTTTTTGACTTTGAATCCCTTCAAGTGGCTTGCTTCTGAATAGGTTTGCAAGATATATTTATCTTCTGTCTTTCAGTAATAGAGTTTGCTGTAGGAAATGATGCTTTATTCCGCTTCCATCAGTTCTAAGCACACCGATTACGTTTTCTTGTTATGGATATCTAGACTTTGTTATTTCCAACACAAATCAAATAATTTCCTACTTATATCTGTGTATATACAGTAGAGTTTTCTCTGTAACAACTGTGATACACAGCTTAGCTGATCATACAGAATAAGACTAGGAAGCAGTTTTAGCATAACGTACTTAGTGTCTCCAAAACAAATAAATAATCAAATAAAAATGAGATAAATCCAAACACAGTGCAAGCCATGAGTTATCTGAAACCCTAGCCACAACAGTATTTGTTAGAAATTTGAATTGACTTAAGTTAACATGAACATTCCTATATTAATCTAATGTCCAGATTAATTCATTTTTTACTGTTAGTCATTTAAAAAGTTGTATTTATCAAAATCCATATTATAAATACTCTAACAGCTTACCCTAAATGTAAGTCTAAAGCAGAAGTGAATTTGATGACAGACATAGTAATGTAATACACTTAGGCAGAGCAGAACAGAAAGACATGCTACTACCTTACTGTGAACTTGCCTAAATACTTCTCTAAGAGTAGAACGAAGATAGGTAGAGCCTTTGATTGCTTGGCAACTGAAACTGTCCTCACAGGATCTAGGAAAGGTGAAATTGGAAAGGTTCTGCTTATTGTACATATTCAACTGATTCCTCCTCCTGCCACTCCCATTTATTTTATTGTAGGACAGTGGCATTTTTCATTAAAAGAGCCGACTCTATGTGAAAAGAGCAATTAAGCTATGTTCTTATAGCCTGTTCTTAGGCCTTTGAGTGTTTTTCTCCATTCTCTTCATTTCTTTCTTTCCCTTGTCAGGCAGAAGCTGAAAAAAGAAAATCCTTATACTCTTGTGTGAGATGAACAAAGGTGAACTCTATGTGCTTGTTGAAAAGGTTTTCTCTTTTGGAGCCACATGCTTTCTAAAGAATCTCAGGAGTGGATTCCTATCACAGAATTACTTTAAAAACTGGCACTAAAGGGGAGACAAGGAGTTTGAATGTACAAGTCAAATCTATATAAAACTTAGCAGGGTCTAAATATATATATTTAAAGTGAAAGAATTAATAACAGATTTTGATGATCTGTGTAGAACTCTCAAACAGATTTAGGCAACATATAGGAATGTCTGAACAGTAGAGGTTCACAAGACCAGTTCTTCAGGCTTATCTCATCTGTTTCTGCGCTGCATTTTTATTATGTCTTCTAGGAGCTTCCTCAGAAAAAAAGGAACATGTGAAAAATATTCACATAAACTATGAAAAGGGTGTTGTGCTTTTTTTCTCTGTTTGTTTGTTTGCTTGCTTTGTTTTTCAACTATTTATTGTTTTCTGTCTTGATTTTAGATGACTTTCTGAGTGCATAAAATATAAATATTCATGTATATTGGATCATTTATTTTGACCACATGGTTTTAAGCCATTGCAGTACCTAAAAAAACAACTCATTTGATGTAGAAAATTAATTTGTCCACCACTTAACAAAGAATGTAATCAATCAGTTATAAAGTTAGTCACAAAACCAAAAGTAATTGTTAAGCTAAATTATTCAATGAGTAACATGAAATCTGTTTAGCTATGTCCACTTGTTCCATCAAGAAAACAATGTCTAGCCATTATCCTGACATCTCAAAAATGGAAGATGCGCTTATGCAATTCTAAGCATGAAGTATGTAGACAGCCTTCCAGTATTTTTCTGTAAATAAATGTAGCATTTAGAGAACATAGGGGGGAAAAAAGGAAAGTGTACTGCATTTTTTTCATAAGAATTAGGGGTTTTTTTACTGTGTATTTGGTAATTATAGAGTCTTTTCTCCACATACAGGTAACAATTTAATAAAGACTGAGTTTTATGTCAGATTCTTCATGCCTTAAGTAATAAAAATAAGGGAAAAAAATGGCCTTTCTAAGCACAGCTGATTATATACTTTCAGAAAATGTTACCTTTCTCTTTTTCTGATGAGTACCATATTATTGCAGAATTAAGATTTTGGTGTTAAAAGATACATAACTGGTTACATTATCTTAGCCATAGTTGTCACATGAAGGCTAAGACTGTGTTGTTGTTGTGTTAGTCCTGTAACTGTAGCAAGTAAGATTCACAAATGAAGAGAAATAATTCAAAAAAACTAAGGAGGGTGTGTAAACTGAATTTTAGGGTTTTTTTAATGATAGACAAGAAAATAATTTGAGTAAATGACCAAGCGTTTCTGGCTAGACTGGTAAAGGTCATCAACCCAGTATCTGCTGGAGGGACAACACAGCAGGACATAAGTAATCTAGGAGGTTCCTGGAATGCATTGATGATAACTTCCTTCTCCAAGTGACAGAGGAGCCAACGAGGAGAGGTGCTATGCTGGACCTTATTCTTTCCAAGAAGGAGAGGCTGATGGGGAATGTGAAGCTCAAGAACAGCCTTGGCTGCAGTGACCGTGAAATGGTGGAGTTCAAGATCCTTAGGGAAGCAAGGAAGGCACACAGCAAGTGCGCTACCCTGAACTTCAGGAGAGCAGACTTTGGCCTCTTCAGGGACCTGCTTGGTACAGTACCATGGTGTCCTGTCCCACTCGGTGGGTTTCAGGGTAGATGAATATTTTGTATCCATTCTTTTAAAGGGATTTTCCTCTGCACAGCGTAGCCCCTTTGGTCGGCAAAGGTAGTGAGTTAATAACCCTCTTTGGTCAGTCGATTGGCAGCAATAACACACTTGAATAATAATAATAATATTTCACAGATTGGATAAAGGCAATGTTTCACAGATCGGATAAAATAATGTTTCACAGATTGAATAAAGTTATATTTCACAGATCGGATAATAGCAATATTTCACAGGTCAGCTAAAATAATATTTCACATGTCAGATAAAGGTATGGCTTTCCGTAATTCTATCTAATAATATGGAGAGAGAAGAAAACAAACAAAGAGTTAAAAAAGTTAAAAAAGAGAAAAAAGAAAGAAAGAGCGAAAGAAAGAAAGAGCGAAAGAAAGAAAGAGCGAAAGAAAGAAAGAGCGAAAGAAAGAAAGAGCGAAAGAAAGAAAGAGCGAAAGAAAGAAAGAGCGAAAGAAAGAAAGAGCGAAAGAAAGAAAGAGCGAAAGAAAGAAAGAGCGAAAGAAAGAAAGAGCGAAAGAAAGAAAGAGCGAAAGAAAGAAAGAGCGAAAGAAAGAGCGAAAGAAAGAGCGAAAGAGCGAAAGAAAGAAAGAGCGAAAGAAAGAAAGAAAGAAAGAGAGAAAGAAAGAAAGAAAGAGGTAAAGAGATATCACCACTCCTGGGGTCCAGTGATATCTTGCAGGTCCAGTCTGATCTTTGTTCTTCACTGGAGAGTGCACACCCTTGTCTTGATTATTTGCGTTTTTATTGTCCCTTTTCATTAATATTTATGAGTCCTGTTCACATTAGCCCCTCCTCTTCTCGCTTTCCATGCTAGGTGCAGTATGCAACATTTTGGAGGGTCCAGGGGGGTTCTGTCCACTATAGATTAGGGAGTGGCCCTCCTCAAGTCCAGAAATATCCCCCCTGCTGCAGGGTTTGTTTGTTTGGACAGGGGAGATTGGGTTGCTTGCTCCAGCTGAAGCCTCCCTTTATCGATTGCCCTGACTAAAGTTTCTGAAGGAGAACACCGCTCCACCCTCCTACCTTCGAGGAGGGAGCACCGCTCCACCTTTGGAGGGCTTATTCCCTTCCTGGAACATGCTGTACTGCAAAGCAGGCTGCTTTTAGGGCCAACACATAAAACTTGCACTGTAAAACATATTTGTTCAAGACACATACATAAAATCTGCAAAACATGTTGTTTAAGGCAAAAAGTCAGACTGTCCTTTACACAAGGGATACAGCCCTGAAGGGCAGAGGGGCCCAAGATAGCTGGTCAATATTCAAGGATCACCTCCTCCAAGCTCAGGTGCGATGCATCCCAATGAAGAGGAAGTCAGGCAAAAACACCAGGAGGCTTCCATGGATGAGCAAGGAGATCTTGGACAATCTCAAACACAAAAAGGAAGGTTACAGAGGGTAGAAGCAAGGACAGGTAACCTGAGAGGAATATGAAGAAATTGTCTGAGTAGCCAGAGATCAGGTTAGGAAAGCCAAGGCCCTGATAGAATTAAATCTGGCCAGGGATATCAAGGGCAACAATAAAAGTTTCTATAGGTATGTTGGTGATAAAAAGAAGACTAGGGAAAATGTGGGCCCTCTTTGGAAGGAAGTGGGAGACCTGGTTATGCAGGATATGGAGAAGGCTGAGGTACTCAACAACTTTTTTGCCTCCATCTTCACCAGCAAGTGTTCCAGCCACATCGCCCAAGTTGCAGAAAGCTGACAGAATGAAGAACCACCCATTGTAGGAGAAGATCAGGCTCAAGACCATCTGAGGAACCTGAAGGTGCAAAAGTCCATGAGACCTGCATCTGCAGGTCCTGAGAGAACTGGTGGATGAAGTGCCTAAGCCACTATCTATCATATTTGAGAAGTTGTGGCAGTGCAGTGAAGTTCGTCCTGAGTGGAAAAGGGGAAACATAACCCCCATATTTAAAAAGGGAATAAAGGAAGAGCCGGGGAACTACAGGCCAGTGAGTCTCACCTCTGTGCCCAGCAAGACCATGGAGTGGATCCTCCTGGAAACTATGCTAGGGCACATAAAAAATAAGGTGATTGGTGACAGCCAACATGGCTTCACCAAGGGCAAATTTTGCCTGACAAATTAGGTGGCCTTCTACGATGCGGTTACAATGGTGGTGGACAAGGGTAAAGCAACTGACATCATCTTCCTGGACTTGTGCAAAGCGTTTGACACTGTCCCAAATGACATCCTTGTCTGTAAACTGCAGACACATGGATTTGACAGATAGACCACTTGGTGGATCAGGAATTGTCTAGTTGGCCACACTCAAGGAGTCACAGTCAATGACTTGATGTCCAAGTGGAGACTAGTGACAAGTAGTGTTCCCCAAGGGTCAGTACTGGGACCGGTGCTATTTAACATCTTTGTTGATGACATGGACAATACAGAGAAAGCATAAATTTCTCCATGCAAATGGTGAGGGAACCCCATCTGACCCACATTATGCTCCTGTACAAGTACTGTTATGAGTTGTACAGAGTCTCAGTGTGATGGTGCTCAGACACACAGTAGTGACACTATAGATATATATAGACTAACATTACAAGATCCTGCACCTAGGTCAGGGCAATGCCTGGTATTAATACAGGTTGGGGGATGAAGGGATTGAGAGCAGCTCTGCAGAGAAGGACTAGGGGGTACTCATGAAAGAAAAGCTGGACATGAACTGGCAACGTGCGCTCACAGCCCAGAAGGCCAACCATACCCTGGGCTGCATCAAAAGAAGCGTGGCCAGCAGGTTGAGGGAGGTGATTGTCCCCCTCTACTCTGCTCTGGTGAGCCCCCACCTGAAGTACTGTGTTCAGCTCTGGGGCCCCCAGTGTAAGAAAAGCAATGAACCTCCTTGAATGAATCCAGAGGAGGGCCACGGAGGTAATCGGGGGCTGGAGCACCTCCCCTGTGAGGACAGGCTGAAAGAGTTGGGGTTGTTCAGCCTGGAGAAGAGAAGGCTCTGGGAAGACCTTATAGCAGCCTTCCAGTACTTAAAGGTGGCCTACAGGAAAGATGGGGAGGAACTTTTTACCAGGGAGTGTAATGATAGGACAAGGGGTACTAGTTTCAAACTGAAAGAGGGTAGATTTAGATTAGATGTAAGGAAGAAGTTCCTCACTGTGAGGGTGGTGATGGGTAGTAAGACACTGGCACATGTTGCCCAGAGAATGCCCCCTCCCTGGAAGTGTTCAAGGCCAGGTTAGATGGGGCTTTGAGCAACCTGGTCTAGTGGAAGGTGTCCCTGCCCATGGCAGGGGTGTTGGAACTAGATCATCTTTCAAATCCCTTCCAACTGTGGAGAAATGCTGGGCTTGTAAGGTCATTATGCCCTAGACAGAGCAAGGACAAGAACGGAGCAACTTGTTCATCTGTCAAAAACCAGCAAAAGGATAAGGTTGCTATCTGCTTCTCCCTTCTAGAAACCTTGTGAGGGGAGATAACAGCTGAAAAACGGATCCTTGCAGTGGCAAGACGGCTCTGTTTTTGACTAAAGAGTGCAGAAAAACTGTTTCAGCACAAAACTCTGAAGAGTACAATGCCCAGGAGTGAAACTTTTGCTTAATTATCTAGGAAATTAACATTAGATTTAACATCCCTGCTTAATTCTATACATGTATGACTATGTCACTCAGCTCTCACCTAAATCGTTTTATACATAACCCATGGGAGGGGAAACAGAGAATTAGAGAATAAAAAGAGGAGAATAAGGGGTAAAAATTGGGAGAAAGGGACTGAAGATCTAGAAGAGATGGTCAACGGGCTGTGCTTCTCTTCCTCCACCCAAGATAGGGACGCCTTCTTGGTAAGAATTGTGCCTTCAGCCCTGGCGAAGAATACCCAGGAAAACTTGGCTAGCATTATTATAGTATATTAGTGCTATTGCAGTAAATTCATTTATCAATGGCAATTCCGCACCTGTTATATCTGTTGCCTTAATAAATTACCTGTATTTGCAACTTTGCAAAACTGTTTCAGTGAAAGTCCCTGAGAGGACTCTGGTAGGCAAATGTCACAACCTTACTCTTAACACGACACCAACCCCCACCATTCTATAGTTGGATGATTCTATGATTCTATGAATGTAATACTTATGAAGAGCTCCATAACTACATTCCTCTGCAAAAGATAAAACAACATAGCAGAAAGGGCTAAGTCAGCAGCACAAGAAGTTTTAGGTGCATTGCATTAGATTTTTTGTTGGTTTTGTTGGTTGTTTTTTCTTTTGTGAAGAGCAAACTTTAGGAAATACGTGTTTGATTTCAATTCAACGTGCTTCTTGATATTATAAAAGATTTTATCTTGTAAATCTCTGTTACACACAACCAGAGATACAGGATGTCCCCTGATACCTTTATTCATAAACATTTGATTTAACTTAAAATTACTACACCACCTCCAGTTTTGAAATCGTTTACCATGATGAAAATGTAGGTAGTCAGTTTACCACAAGATCTTAAAAAACAATGAAAAGCAGGAAACAACTGAAAAAATTAAAACCCTTTTCCGTTGTAATCATTTATCCATGTGGCAGAGAGCAACATGCTGCTGAACTGATACTTAATACCTCAGTGTCATTTCAGTATTTCCAAGTGTCATTCCTCTTTTCCCGTGTCCTTATGAGTTTCATTACCCACTGAATAGATTCTTGCATTCCCAAGTATTGCCATTCTGCTTTGTGGCCCTGCTTTGCACAGTAAAATTCTGTTCACTTTAAAAACGTGTTCCTATATCAGTAATACTTTGAGGTAATTCTTCCTTCTGAAAACACTAGAAGAGAATGGTATGTTTTTCCCATTAATTACAGTATTCTTTTTTTTTTAGGTTATTATGTTCGAATTGGAAGCAAGATGGAACATAGGGAGTGTCAGTCTTCAGTTAATATGGTTTGCAGATATAAAAAAGTCCTCATAAATCTTTGGAAAAAATCTGAGAATTGTGCAGGTACATAAGTACTGTTAAGAATAAACAAGGGCTTCTAGTAGAATGGTCCTTTTTGATTTCCTATCCCGCTACTTTCCCACACTGAGTCCTCCCAACTCCATTTTGATCCTTACTTTGCCTGCCTCTGGTTCCTCACCGAAACATTGCAAATAAGTAAACCTCCCCTCAGTCTTGAAGGTGATCTGGAGAGCCTCATCTGCTGACTCAAGATGATGGGTGTCCCCTCTGGTCCATGGGGTGGAGGCTCTCCAGGGACAGCGTTGGGAGGGCCAGAGCAGGGGCTTATATTTCTGACCGGGTTATTTGAGTTCCCCCACATGCCATTGCTCCTCTGTGCTCCTTCATATTGGTAGAAATAAACCTTTAATCATATAACCTAGCAGTCATCAACATATATACACTGTTCTTTTGTTTGATTGCTTTAACTATATTTGATTAAAAACTATCAGAAACAGCAGTGTTACGGGGTTCTCATTAGTCAAACAATGACTATGAGAATTTCTTATTTAAACTATAACTTAACTTCTTTACCTATCTCCTTCAATTCTTCTGTTGCAAAGCAAATGGTAATGTCTTTGATGAGAACCAAGCTGAAAAATAGAAAGTCTGTGCTTGCTTTTGAGGTAAAGGAGCTCAGTATAACACTTATGATAAATGAATGTTTTAATAAATGAATATACTGTAACTTTTAGAAATATAATTTCAGCAGACAAAAAAATGCATCTTTTTAAAATCTGAAAGAGTGTTGTCAGCTTACCCCATTTTAATTGCAACAGAAGACCAACAGCAAGTGTCTGAAATACAGTATGGCATAACAAAATTTTCAACACTGAGAATTAGATCTGTAAGAGATCCTTTTTTAACTTCTGATATACTTTAACAATCCTTTTCCAGTTCAGTGAAATTTTGCCCACATTAATGTTGTGCTAAATCACCTGAGTAAGCAACAAGGCAAAGCACACATACTGAGACATAAGCAAAGCCATATTCTCAGGCACCAGATGCTCTTACTACACAAGTCATTGTCATTAAAATGAACAACACATACTCCTTGCTTGTGACATTCCATCACTTATGCCAGCCTTCTGGTAACAAGCTATTTCCAGGCAGTGGCTCCCAGCTGTGTTGCTTCATTTCTATGCATGGGCTGAATACATGAAGTCAGACTATGTGCAGGAGCCAATGTATCTATACTCTGTGCTCTTTTTAGCTTAGGTTTTTGCCCTGGCAGGTCTTGTTTCTGACACAGAGCAGACATATTCTGGTTTTATTTCCCTTTTTTTTTTTTTTCCTTTTCTTAGTTCTGTGTTTATACTTGGCACATCTAATTATTGAAGAAATGCATTACTTTCACAGAAAAATATTTTATTAAAAATGTTATGGTTCATGTAAGAGATCCTAAAGAAATGAAAAATCTACAACAGGTTGTGATATACAGGTATACAGAATAACAATAAGAAAAAAAGTCTTACTACCAGTTTGTTAATATTGGCAGCTCAATACTTAAGTTTTCAGTTTTCACAAACCTTGACATTGCTTTTTCCATCATCTTCAATTGTTCTTATGAAAGCTGATTCCTCATATTTTGTTCAGTTGCTCAACAAATTTTACTACATTTCACAATAAAAAGCTGATGTGCAAACTGGATGGAAGAAACAGGCCTATAACTTATAACTCAACTTCTCAAACAAAAAGTCAAGTCAGGCTCTTAACAACATTTAGACCAATAAAATTCCCAGGAACAAAGGCAATTTTTATAGCAAAATGGGAAAATAAAAACAGGGTTGGAAAGCTAAAACGTATTCAAAATTAATGATGGTGCCTGACTGTATGAGGGAAATTCATGTTCATGTGTGCTAGAAACTGCCCATGGAATTATACCTGCATTACCAGAATGAAAAATGAATGGATAGAGGAACCACAGTTCTGACTTGTTCAAACTAAGTACCCTGTCTGCAGCTCTGGGGATTCAGCCTCACTTTTATTTGGTCTCCTGGCCTAATGCAGGGTACTTTTTGCATTGAACACTGTATCCGAACTCCTTCACAGCCTCCCAAATGTACACTGTCCTGAGATTA